CTCTATTTTTCATGTAACCCCGGATTGTATCTGGGAGGCACTCTCTCTTGATTATACTTGATCAATAACCGGCGATATTCCTCAAAAGAAAACTCAACACCAACAATGTCGTTGGGGATGGAAACCTTTTGCATCGAGCACGGTCAAAAGCCAACTATGAGATGGAGTAGAAAGCTCTCTGGAAATCAAGATTGAGCACGGCGGCGGGCATGCGCACTTCTAGCAGCATTGAACCAACTCAGCCGCAAAGATGAAATTTTCAGATATGCACCTCCCTTTGAGAAACCTCATATGTTCTGGATGAACCAAAGAGGAGTTTGGAGTCACTAGGTCAAGGCTTAGTTTCGAAGAGAGATGTGTCTGAAGTTCTTTGCCAACGTAGGGAAATCAGACTAAGGGAGAAGCACGATGAAGGACCGGTTGAATCCAAAGAGGTCCGCATGGTGATGAAAGAAATCACCGGCCAGTTGGACGAAGTCGGGCTCCATGAGGGGCCAGGCGTGCTTGGTGAAGAGAGGGCAAAACATTAGGACAAGAAGCGAATGACATGGCAACGTAGGGCAGATGCTTACATCAATGTGTAGAATGGGATCTTGAGATAGGACGAATGAATTTTACAAAAATAAGTGGCATACTATCGATGCAACTATTTCACCATAAAGTGAGGAATATAATCCTTATTTGGAAATACTAGCACATATGCTCGTACGTTACAACGGAGAAAAAATAGTGTGCATTTGAAGTTAGTGAGAATTATATGTGCAAGCAAAACCGTGTGTGCACGTAAAAAAAACATTTAGCCTCAGTTTCGCCAGGTGTGAAGTAATCAATCCGCTATTTTTCCATTCATGGATCGAGGGCATTTAAGAGTTTTGTTACGTTCGTACGCCAGACGAAGCCCATTCAATCTATTTTTCCTTTAGATCGAGGGAATGTTAAGGTATGAAGTTTCTGAATATTATAGGAAACATGAACCTTTTTTAAAATTATGCACACTTTTAGAAAAAAATTGAAACAGGAACATCTTTTAAAATTCACAAACATTTTTTGAAAACACCAACTTTTTTTATAAAAACATGAACATTTTTTAGAATGAGACCATGTGTTGAAAATTCATAACATTTTTCGAAAATGTGTATCTTTCAACATTATTTTGAATTATGAAAATTTCACTAAAACAAGAATATTTTTCGAATTTGTAGCATTTTCTAAAATGCCATTTTCTTTTCTGAAATCTTGAACAATTTTGAAAAACAATAGAAGTTTTTGAAAAAATGGGAAACTTTTTCAAGTTTCGAATATTTTTCGAAATAGCAAAAAAATGGAATTCTGAACATTTTCTATAATTTGATATTTTTTTATTGAGATTCTGAATATTTTCTATAACTTGATTTTTGTTGAAATTCTGAATATTTTTTGAGACTTTTGAATTTATGAAATAAATTCTATAAGAAAAATAAACTTGGACGGGAAAAAAGAGATAGGGGGAGGAGAATGAAAATAGAAGTAAAACACAGAGAAAAAGAAAAATGGGCAAGTCCATTATTGGTTGTCCTATGCGAAGCTCCGACTATTTATCGCCTTGTACAGAAAATAGAATTTTCCCAGTTGTGTGGGCAGAAAAATAAGTGGGTTGGCTTCGCACTGTGGCCCACATACGAAATTCTGGAAAAAACTTTTTTTCTAGCAGACGAACGCATAATAATTTAGTACCACCTCGGACAGAAAAATAATATTTTTGGCTGTGAATGGATGAAAATTGGCGAAACACACCTTGCTTTATTAGTAGGTATAGATTTCAATGTACTAAAAATAGAGGGTTGACCTTCGTCAATGTAAATTGGGATGATTTCTAACAATGGCCTGAAAGTGAAGCCTTTTATCGACTCAATTGTAGAGTAAGTACTTTGAGATTTTAACGCCTCTGAATTCATTATTTCGGAAGGGAACCAAAATACTACTTTCTGTCATATATCAAAGTTAATCCATAATTTGAGTTGAAAAAAGCGTGTTGTTTGATTATCTTCATCATGGTACGTTCAAAATACATGAACCTAAAATCAAATTCTGCAAGAAACTTACAAGCATAGAACACAGGGCACAGTAGAAGATAATGAAAATTGATCTAGCTAAATTTGGAAGTACACATACCCGTCTTTATGAAACCCTCCCAGGAGTGTATCTTATGATATCTTCAAACCAAATAATTTTCATACCGCAAGAGATCACGATATCAAACTCTACCACGAGTAGTGTGTCAATATCCTTTGTTCTTTTTGAACCTGGTAATCATCAGAACGCAAGAGGCCACAATATCAACCCCTCGTCACACATACAGAAACTCAGTCAATTGTCAGGACAGCTATGAGTAGTAGTTGCACCAGCTTGATTGAAAAGTAGGTGAAGCGAGAAATTACATATAAAGCTACACGTATCTCTTCCTTATCTCTGAATATTCTGTTTTTCATCACCAAATATTTTGATGTATACTACGATTTGAGGGAAGTTCTACTTTGTTATCCTATCAATATAAAATTATGTAATTGTAAATATTAATCAGTGAGACATGAAGATGTCGTGGGACATTTAAGCAGTACTCTATCACTAACATGTCATCATCGTGACGTTACAAGAACATGTCATTATCATGTTTTTAAGTTCAATACTCCAAGGGAGATAAATCTTGCAGCCATAATGTCAGCCTGAAAAATAAAATGGAAAAGTGGTTGATATTTGTACAGAAGGTAGTCTAATCTGTACCTTGATGCTTTGTGCAATGATTTATCTGACACGCACCCTCAATAGAAGCTATACAGATCTTCCACTTAAAAGAAGTTGGCATAATCTCGGTTGGTTACTTCTATATGTTTCAGGTTTCAATAAGCACTTTCTTGAAGTCAGATGGAGATGCTAAAGAAATTTGTCATCCAATATGTTATTCTGCAACAAAATGTAAAGAATTAGAAAGTAAAAGAATAATGAGGCAGAGCATCGAACTGGGCATAACAATTTCCATAAATGGTATATGCAGTTTAGTCAAACAACTCTTGAGTCGTTAGATCGGCACAGCAAGGGAGTCTTTTCTTGGAGTGGCGCAATGTATGATGTAGAAATCATTCTGTACAAGTTTGTAAAACCACAAAAGACATGTAATGTATTGGCCATAGTAATAAGGAATGTATAAAGGTGCTCATCCTAGAATTCTTTCTTGTTCTGAAACAATCACTACCATTGGTGCAACCTATATAATTAAACAGCAATAGCAGCCCTATCTGAAGCTGCAGGATCGTAGCATCAAAGCGACAAAAGGCCTGCGTATGTTGTCTCATTATCATTTTGATCAAGTCTTCGTTGAATACAGTACTAAAATATCGAAAAATATCTGTATAAAAGTGTGCCAGCAACTAAAAGACACTTTGCCTTGAGCCCTTAACCACCCTGTGCAAAATAAGCTGCCTACCCCTGTTTTGGCATATGCAGAACCTAAGGAAGAAAACAGGTCAATTTGGTAGTACTGTAATTAGACATGGGAAGTCAATCAGTTTGTTGGAGCAGTAATGATGAAATACACATGGAATTGTTCAGTGTCAGAAACACCGAAAATGCTGTCAGTTACACCTCTACGGAAACATCACCAAACAGACCTTGAGCCGCCTCCTCTGGCGGCTGGCTCCTCTCGATCTGTTCTCTTGCCCGTCCGTCCCTCACCCCATCTCCATATCGTACTCATTCTCTCAGCCTCTGTATACACGGCAAGAAGGTAACATATCAGTGTACAATAAGGCACAACAATTCAATACGATTTGCAATGGAACAAAAGGGGCTAGTTTAATCTAAATAAACATCGGTGAACAAAATTTGAGGACCAAGAAAGTCCATCAATACTCTAGCCACAAATTGACATTTCCTTCTGTCCATGTGTTTTCTCCTTTCATGCACATTTTTCTGCCTTTCCATGCGGCAAAAGAACATGGAAATCTGTGCCGGTGCATAAACTGGTTATTTGCGTAGTTTGGCGTTAATTTGATGTCAGTTGGAAATTACGGGTTTTCGACGGAGGGGGTAGAAATTCGCTTGCAGTGCTATACTTACGGGCGACTTGAGGATCCGAGGGAATGCAACATCTGCCGGTCGCTGCAACCGCTGCCCTGGGAGCCGCCTAGCAGAGAATGCTGGAGCCTAGATTATTGCCTCTCCCTTCCCGTTGCCTCCATGGAATATCAAGATTGGAGCAAGGCCGTGAGGCTGGTGGGACGTTGTGGAGGCAGTGGCGCAAGGGCGCAGCGGCCATATCTTGGTGTTAGGTTAGGTTAGGTTAGGAGAGGAACCGGGGCGGCGTACGGTAGGGAAGAGGTGGCGCTGAGAAGATTTGATTTGTCGGGGTTGTTAGGTCAAAAGAAGATCCGATGGTGGTTGTTTGTCGTTTGATTGAGGGATCAACCAAATCAATAGCTAGATGTCTCTGTCTTTTGTAGCATTTTCTAGTACTTTTTCTTCTGATGAATGATTTTTCCAGGATTTTTTACTCTCCGTCTTTCTTTTGGGTCCTTCTCTTGCTGAAGAAGAACAGGATAATCAACCAAACATATTCGTATCCAAGCACACCTATTCTTTTGCCACACGCTTTGCTGTTTGGCTCTAGCAGCCAGTTAGAGCCAAAAATGCTCGAGGAATATTATCATAGTAACTTCTCACGGTAACTAAATTAGATTTGCTTCCGCGCACAGCACAAGATGGATCCATTTGCGCCAATTTTCATAAAATACGACTTGACTTCAAATATATATGTAAGAGCATAGGCGAAAGCATCATCATACAGGCGGCGATCTTTCATGAACCAAAAGGGACCATCTACAACGGCGAGGCCAAAAACGGATTGTTTTACAGTAGGACGCACATATTCCACTACACACGTAGACAGATAAACTAGCAGCAGAGCAGACACTTTCAGAGAGTTGAGACAACCTTCGCACCCTTCAGCGGCGCCTTGCAGCGTTAACTCAAAATTCCACACTTGCGTGATTCAGACAGAAGACTTCAGGAGGAGGAGAGACCAGGACGGACGGACGCCTCCTGTTTGTTCTGGCCGGTCGGTTCCAGCTATCTTGGGGCTGCAAGTAGATGGTATATACACTTCAGATCAGATCGATAATAAAACAGATAACTGTCGAACGATATGCAGACGGGAACAAAAAGATACGGCGGCTAAAAGAGAGAACTAGAGAGTAGTCGCCTAGTCGGTACCCTCTAATTGTATGATATGGAGGATGATGCCTCAAGGCACTTTTATTTCAGTTCACAGAAATGGCGAACGATGGCAGTGTGCATCGATTGATGCAGAGGCCGGGGGTGATCCTCCTCTTCGAAAAGAACAGAAGTGGCAAACGAATTTAGTTTTTAAGCTATCCAGATCTAACTTATCAAGGGACTTGATCCATGATTTGACAAATTAAACCATGAACCTCTGCAGTATATCCAGATTTTTGCCTTAACTCGGTTTTAAGCTTCTGGCTGATATGTGGCTGGTCCGATTCCAGCCCATCACAAGTGAAGTGATCTATTAAAATGAACATTGCATACAGGTACTACTTTATGTTGGTCAAGAAGTGTACTATAAATTACCAGATACAAATTATAACTAGTATTTCATAGGATTCCACATATGATTAAAGATCAGTGTTTTTTCTGCCGGATATATCTTTTTAAGAACAACATCATGGTCAGATTGTAAGTCTGTTCAAAATGATATTTTAGAGCCTTTTCTTTCACGTGAAATCACCACGAGTCCACGATAAGGACTGGTTTAGTAATCAGGAATACCAGCACACCATGAAACTAAAGATATACTAAAACCATGACAAAGAATGGAGCCACAAATTTCACATGGAAGTAAAAAAAAATCTAACAAAATCTTCAAAAGCAAAAATGGAGAAATATAAGAGACATGATAGTATGTATGTGAACATACATACCCATTCCAGCAGCATCAGAGCCTCTCATGATTCTCAGTTTCCGACAAGTAGTGGTAAACAAGCTGCAAATGATTGAATGATAGTAAGCATACATGAATAGCTAAATAATGCATGACCACTCATTCAAACAATTTATACGGCATAGGCTGTGCATAAGGAAATAATTAAATAGCATACAGAAAGATACACAGATAAAGGTGAGGGAGTAAAAGGCCAAAACAGTGTATATACATTGTGTATTATCTTTTAATAAATGGATACCTCAATTCCCAAAAGATGTTTTTTCACAAAATCAATATGTACTGTTAATGTCAATAATGCTAGGAAAATAAGCCTGTCTACTAGGAACACTGATTCACAGAAGGGCAGTGTCCATCCATGACACAGAGGCCGGAGGCAATATATCTTCCATTTTCTAAAAGAAAAGAAGGGCAAGCGAAGCTTCAGGGAGAAGCTTCAGGGAACACTTGATTACCCAAATAGCAAATTTTACTCATGGGGGCATCTCGAAATTTCATGAGTGCAGAGTTTGTTTTGCAAATTTTTGGCTGCCTCCAGATGTCATCTCCGAAAGGCCAGTGTAAAGGGTAAACCACTTATGGTAGAAGTCTAGGCTACCATGTTGAAAGTTCTATCAAGTTCATGACTCTACTATCAAGTTCATGACTCTACTATCAAGATCTCCAAAGTCATACATAAGTTACATAAATAATATCAAGTTCATGACTACTATCTTAGATCTCTAAAGTTCTACCAAAGTGACTTAAACAGACAACAGCAAAAGCAATACTGATGTCCAAGTGGGCAAAAATACCGCATGTGAGAGAAGAATACCACAATAAGACATCATAAAAGCATACTAAGTTAAGGTGCATGTAAGAGCAGAGTACAACAATAAGCCATCATAAAAGCATGTTAAGGTGCATAGATCTCACAAACCAAAAATTCAGTAACTTACTCCCAAGGAAGATCACCAACAAGCATCCAGTCAGCATCCTTGTCTTCATAGGTAAGTACATACTCTTGGTCCTGAAGAGCATCAGCCCTAGAACCATCAGTGAGCCTGTCTCTCGTCGAAGTTTTGCAGGAACTACTTTTGCCTGTAATGCCACAACTTTAAATATTAATATGCTTCCTGGAAACATACATCTAATTCAGAGAAAGAGAAAACAGCTTTAGTTGCCCTACAGTTCACAGTCAAAAAGAAAAGTTCCAGAAGTAATGCTAGAAATGATACTTATTGAAGCAGAATGAAAAATACTGTAAACATTGCATATCTTCAGAGTTAACTGAACCCAGGTTACCAAAATTTGCTTCCTTTGCTCCTAATACGTAAGGAATGTTGTTAATGGCATATGCTACTGCTTTGCTTTTGTGTTAGTTCCTGTCATTTAGGGAAGACCAGTCTATAGCACTCAATTTGCAATCTACTTCTCTAAAAAAAATTCTCCCTTCTGAAAATGATGTTAAGTTAACCTAGTTAGTAACTAGTTACTGGTCATTGACTAGGCTTGGAAACCATAGTTCAGCTAGTGGGATTCGCAAGTATTCATGCATCTTTTATCTTCTCAAGATCTTCAGCAACCAGAAAATCCATCTGGAAATGTCATTCCTACCCTCCTATTTGCTCAGGCTAGAGATTAACCTACTTAATAATAGTAACTTGCATCTAGAAGAAACAAGAAAGGAGATGGATTAAATGAAAAGAGCAACACCCACCAGTGATGAAGCAGCTGAACATCTTCTCCAGCTCCAGGGAAAGGTTGTCATAGCTGGAGTAAGTCTTAAGATCGACCTTCCTTAGGTACGGGGCTCCATCCATGCTGACCTTGACATAGCAGCACCCTGCCTCGCTTCTACCTTCGTTCTCGGCCTTGGTCTTTGTGGCATTGGCGGCTAGCGTGTTCTTACGGTAGCTCCGAACAGGCGGCCATCCAACAACTTGTGCCCTACAGAGTGCATAACACTTGGTATTAGACCAGATCAAACAAAACATCAACCGAAACACATGGTTTAACTTTTAAACATGCAATGAATGGTTTTAAACATGCAACCAACATTCGGATCATTGGGCACTCCCCCCTTCCCCTTATCAAACACGTACAACTCAGTTATTTTAAGATAAGCAGCGCTCGGGTGGTTACAGGCTTACAGAGCCCGGTTAAGTGACAGTTTTAGCAGGGGACGTGCTATTATGCGTTTAACTCACAAGTCACTTGGCTCACTTTGGTGGTAATTCCTCCTTAGGCGCATGTCTGAGCAACAAAAACGAGGGTCGGCCTTCTTAGGTTAGAATGTAATAGCCCGGGTACTTTCAGATTCAGAGTAGTAGGTTTTTAAAACCGGTCACTTGAGCACGAAAATAAGAGAAGCACCACTATTACTTGCGCCATACATACATAGTGCATAACACTGAGTGCCATACCAGATCGGACCAAATTAAGATAAGCAACAAACCAGGCTGGTCACAGGATAACAGAAACCTGTTGAGTGGCCAGTTTTAGCAGGGAACATCCTCTCGTGCTGGTCTTGCACTGACATTTCGGCAAGCAAATCAAGCGAGGTGTCACTATTATTGGACACTGCTGCTGCTGCTGCTTATGAAGCAATCCAAAATTAAACCAAACTGCCGAAATGAAATGTAGCAGATGCACATATCCAACGAGCTAGCTAAAACCGCAGCAACAAAGGAGCCAAGCTCAAGCTGGAGCTCGAAATAGTAAAAGAAAACTTACTTGGCGGCTGGAGGAGCTCCGGCTCCGGCGGCGGCGGCTTCGCCCTTGTGCTTGTCTTCCTCCCCGGCAGCCCCGGCAGCAGCGGCAGGGGAGCGGTCGAGCGAGTCGGCGAACCCGCGCTTGGCGCCGCCCCTGTGAGGGACGGGAGCAGTAGCTGGAGCCGGCCCTAGCGTGAGCGCGGCGTCGACGGCGGCCTCCGGGTGGTCGCGGCCGGGCAGGCCGAGGCGGAGGGCGAGGTGCGGGCCGGCGTCGCCCGAGGCGGAGGAGGAGCAGGAGGAGGCGGAGGGCGCGGCGGGGACGAGGCCGATGTAGTCGCGCGCTTGGAGATTGGGCGGCGGCATTGGGAGGGAAGGAGGCAGGTGAAGGGCGAGGAGGAAAGGAGCTCTTTTTGTTTGCTGGCCTCGGAGAGGGAAGGGGAGGTGGGGCGTGATAAAGAAGCAGAGTGGGAGTGGTGGTGGTGGCCGACCGGGCCGGCGGCTCTTTATTCTGCTCCCCTTTCCTCGGGCCGGGTCGGGTTGGGTTGGGTCCGTCGGGATATCTATGCTTGGTTAGCATGGCATTTGCTTGCTAAGCTAAGCATGGATGACAGTTAAATTACTCGTCGCAGAAATGAATGTACCTAGAACTAAAATACATCTAGATGCATTCATACATGCGACAAGTAATTCAGAACGGGGAGAGTACTACAGTACACTCGTGTAGTATACGGATGTGATTAGTAAAGCCGGTTTTCCTTTGCAGCGACAGGATCTCGAGGGGGATTACCCTTTTGCGTTTTATAATCATCATCCGTATACTACACCTGCCGCTGCGCCAGCCACTCTTCGTCTTTGTACGCACGCTCGCTTGCTTCACTTCGCTTCACCTTCACCCCCGCGCAGCGACTGGGCCCTGCAAAGCTTGGTCCCACCTGCACGTATTAGTAGTACGAACGGAAGCATTTCTTTCTTTTACTCCCTGGCTCGATGCTGGTCTCGGCCATAATTATTCCCTGCGACTGTACTCGACTCGATCCATCATCCATGGCCATGGCTGCTGGCCTTTGTTCCCTCCCGGTGGGTGGGCGTACGCCGCACTTGTCTCGCGTCGTGGGAAACGGAGCGGGGCGGACGGAGGGATAAAAGTAATGGCGGGTGGTGGCGGCGGCCACGTACGGCGCGCTGGCCGGCCGGGGCGCAGGGGCACGGCACGGCAAAGGACGGACGGACCGACCCCGACCGGCAGGCAGACACCCGGCCCGCGAGTCCACCCGACAGCGCCGCGCACACGTCGCTCTCCTCCGTCCTCCCAGACCCACCACCCTCCCGTGCCCAGCTGCCCCGCCCCCATCGCCGTGCCGTGCTCCGCGGCTCCACCACTCCCACGCCGAGTCGCTGACGACGGCGACGGCGACGGCTCATGCCGCGTCGTCGCGGTCAGCGCCCATCACCGGCGACGACGCCGCCCGCAATAGTGGACTGGTGGTAGTGGACGCCCGTTCCCGAGCGCGATCCCGCTCTGGCGCCATGCCACCCCGCTCCATGCGCGTCCGCTCAGCACATGGGCGGCCCGCGCGCGCGTGCAGGGGACGAGGGTGCGCCGCGTCGGTCGCGTGGCGGTTCGTCGTGAAGTTTCTGCGGGTGCGCCGGGACCGTGCATGCGCCTTGAGTGATCGCTGCTGCGGTGGCGGTTGGTGCACCCACCGGAATAATGCCGACCGAGCGTGTACTCCGTAGCGTATGCTGCGTTTTCCACGGGCATGCATTTCCCTTTTTTGGCCGATCAATGGATTGAAATAGCCGTTGGTAGTGGTGGTACTCGGAGGGGAAATTGTCTACTGCTTGCTGCCACCAAACTAGTAGGAGTACTTTCCTGTTGATGCATATGCACTCTGGTTTATCCTCCATTACGCATAGATATAGACATAGGAGTACTTCTCACCATTGACAATCACACACTTCGACAAGAGTTCAAACAGGACGATATTTTTTAAGTTTTGAATTCAAATATCACTATTGCAGGATCTCAACTTAAAGTTGATCTTATGAACAACAGAATTGCACGCAACTATAGACTTAAAGTCTTGGAATCGGATTAGTGCCCATTCCCGCCACGCTTCGGGCAACACGATCGCCCTTTGTTGATCATATCTCTCCTTTAAGGAGTTTTCAGAGTGTCAGATGGCACTCTTCCATCAGACACTGTCTTTAGGTCAGGGTGAAGATGATGTTGAATGAAGTGCAATGATGAACACCTTCTTATGTCTATATAGATGAAGTCTCTTGGGGCAAGTGTGGTTATCGCGGAATTGAGTCCCTTGGTCATCAAATTGATTTTGATTGCACATGACAAATAGTTAGAACCATCGACGACAAGTTCAACAAACTCTTTTTTAGATATGGCAGCCATGTTCGTTCCAACTTTCTCCAGCGAGTTTCGTGGCCTAGCACTCTCGATAGAGATACGGGTGTGATAACGTGTAAAGAAACACTATAAAAATGAACAGTAACAATTGATGTTTGTTGGTAATGATAATGATGATGTACATATATATATCCCTGAAGGACCCATGGCACAAACGCGATGGTTACAAGCCACATGAAGAGACAGAGACAGAGAAAGAGGCGCATCTCTTCAGTAGGGTAACCGCACACGTGCTTCATTGCTTCAGGACGATCGACGTACTACCTCCGTACTGGTTTATTGGCCCCTTTCGTATTTTGTGCCTAATTTTAATATTATTTTTTTAACTAATAAAATGTTAATGCATGTCATAAAAAATATTATTGGAAACTAGGTTTAAATACGAACACAACGATGTAATTTTTAGTAACATGTACTAATATTTTGTTTGTTAATTTTGTGATCAAAATTTGACACAAATTACAAAGAAGACCAATAAACTAGGATGGAGGTAGTATCACTTCTAAAAAACTAATGCCAAGATTAATTAAATCATAACAAATATAGTATTCACTATCACGAGTTTTTGTGCACCATGTACGTATGTCGCTGGCCGGCCACTCGCAGCGCGCGCACTTGTGCGGAGTAGTGGGCGTATGGACGAGATCACCGCCCCATGCCGCGCGTCCCCGTGCACGAGCCGGTCTGGTGTGGGCATGCCGTGTTCGCGCCATGCTCCCACCGGCGCGTCGCCTTGCCATGCCGCTCTGGACTTTGTTTCCGTCCGTCTAGCCGGAGGCGAGGCGAGAGGCCGCCGGCTTTGGCCGGGTATTGACCCGGATTGCATGGCGATTGTCACGAATTTTCTGCTGCTGATGCACCGCGTCCGTACATCAATTGCTGCAACTGTGGTGGTGGGTGCACCAGCCAGAATGATGGCCGGTATACACACGCTGGCTACGTTTTCCACGGGCATTTCGCATTCTTGGCACAGTGCGGCTGGCTACCGAACTTGTCTGTGCAACCGAGGGCATAGTTCCACGTACGCAGGCATGAACAGCTCCGTTTTTGGCCGATCGATGAACCGAACCACCACTTGGTACCACTATCACAGTCTGTTACCACCAAACACGGGACAAAGGTCAAGTAATGCGATCGCATCGCATATTCTCGATGTGGAACACACACCGGTAGCTCTGCTCGGAATTGATGGAGCGCGCGGTGGCCAGGCGACAGCGCATGCGGGCGGCGGGCCGGCGGCAGCATCACCTGCAACCCTCCCGCTCGATCTACGACGGCCGGCCACTAGAAGCGGCAAGGCTAGCTAGCCAGCGTGCGTGCGTTAATACTCTGCTGCTGTGTGTCTGTCACCCCGAGGCCGTCCGTCCACGCGCGCATCATCACCGCCCCGCTCGATCGCTTCGCCGGGCATCATGGCCGTGCGACGGGCGCGCTCGAGAGCACCGCATTAACTCCCCCTGGCGCGCCGCTCCAGCTACCTCCACTCCACTGCGCCTGCTCTGTTCATCCACTGCTCGCTGCCGCTCCGGCTGCCAGCATAATTGTGCACCACCAAGCCTATGCCGACGTAGTACGCTACCTACTATACCTCGCTACCGGGTGCATTCTACTCATCTTTCCGGTTTATAAGACTTATCTTAGAATTTTAGTTTTTTTATTTTATAAGGTTTAATTTGGTTATTTCCCATCACATGTTCAGACTTTAAGGTGCATTAAATCATTGCATGCAAGTATTAAGAGAAAACTGATCAATGCATACACTTTATGCATGCATGCATTGCAATTAATGCATTCGTAAATATAACTTTTTAAGGAAAACAAAATCATTAATTAAGTATTTTCGCAAACTACAAAAAATATTCCACCACTCATCATCTATCTTGGTTGATGAGATTTTTTAATTGAGCCTTATAAACCGAAAAGGAGGGAGTAAGAGGCGGTCTACTTCCCCGTGACCGTGCGTGCGTGCGTGCCAAATGCTTTAGCTCACGTCCGGTGACTTGGATAGATAAGTCGCCGCGCACGGTCGTCGATCACACAAGGCCGTCAACGGAACCGTGCACGCTGGCCGATCGAGTATCGCTGCTCCACTCGTCCGTGCTGATGATTTTGGCCGCATGAGTAATTAGGCGCGAGGGTTTCCAGGTGAAAAGCTCGGTGGATCGATCGATGGGTCGGTGTGTCTCCGTTCCCCAGGAGCCAGAGACCCGGCGCGCCTGCCGGACGGCCGGCAACCGAGAAGGACTGACCGGACGGGGCCCGTGCAGCGGCAGCCATGATGACGACGATCCACCCCTGCACCTGCCCTGCCCCGCCATGTTCCTTTCCAACGCCCGCACCCCGGCCCCGGCCGGCCTGGCCTGCGCGCCCACCCACTGGCGGTGGCGGCAGGCATCGCGGAGTGAGGTCGACGGATCGGCGCGCGCTGTCCGTTCCGGCGAGGACAGAGGAACAAACTGGAGGGACGGCAGGGCAGGGCCGTGCCCCGGCTCTCCTGCTATCGACTGTCTGTCGCCGCGTGCCGTGCCGTGGTTCCGTGCGTGGCAACGGCGTGCGGTGCGGGCAGCCGGGGTCTGGCTGCGGAGACGCGCAGTGCACAGTGATTTTTGTGCCAAGTGGGTGACCAAAATCACTGTTGCTTTGACCGTAAACGAGAAGATAATCACGGTTTGAACCCGTCTAGAAGAAAAAAAAAATCGGATCTGACCTCTCGTGGTCATGCCAACATCCCTGGCGTTCACGTTACACGGGAAATGCCACGGACCGTGACGTTTGGTCCCGCGTTTCTCCATGGGCCTTGCATCTCTGTATGGGACAAAACGCCGCGGGCCACGGTGTTTGGGCCACAGGAAAACACCGTGGCCCAAATTGTTTGACCCAGGAGCAAACACCATAGCAACGCAAACGCCAGACTTGTTGGCGGGAGCAACTAGTTAAC